GCCGCAGAGCGGGCCTGACTTCGGTGCTTTGTTATTCCTTGCCCGCCCCCGCTCCCCCGGCCCTCCGATGATCTCCCTCGGGGGCCCGCCGGGCAGGGTGCGCGGATGCCCCTGCTCTCACGCCATCTGCCCCGCCCTGGACGCCCCCCTCTCCCCCCCCCTCGCGCGCCCGCCGGGCACCCCGCTCTGGACGAGGGGGGGGGGGGGGGGGGCGGGGGAGGGCGCGAGGCCGGGGGAGGCAATCGCAGACGCGGGATCCGGCGCCGGGCGCCCAGGGGCCCCACCACCGCGCGTATTGCCTCGGGGCGTGCGTGCCCGGGGGTCCCCGGGGCCCGCCGCCCACCCCTCCAGCGCCGGGGGCGGTCGAGGCACAATCAGGCCAGCGCGCCCGGCATCTCTGCCAGTTTCCGCATGTGTGGGGATGCGCGCGCGCGCGGGCCCGCGCCCGCGCCCCCTCCCTCGCCCACTGTGCCCTGCTCTGCGCCGGCCGCCGGGCCGGGTGAGGAGCTTGTCCGGAAAGGAGCCTTGAGAAGGTCCCTGATCCCGGCGGCCTGGCTCCGTGTGGCAGCCGCCTGCCCCGGGGCGGGGCCCGGACTCCCTCTCTCCGTTCCAGGAGGCTGACTCCATTCCTCAGGTCCGGGGGCAGGGCAGGGCAGGGGGGGCGAGGCGCGAGGCGCGGGAGGGGGGCCACGAAAACGAGCCATTCCGAGGAAGCCGCGCGCCGACTACCACCACTCCCAGTCTAGATCTTGGGCAGTGTTTTTTTTTTTCTTTCGCCGCCCAATTTCCCGGGCCAGTGCCCTCAAATTATGATTGCACGCACACGCCGGCTCTTGCCCCGGCGCCCTCCCCCCCGCTGCCCGCGCTTCCTTTTTTTGGCGGCCATTCCCGGTCCGGCCGGGGACCGAGGGGAAGGGACACGGCTGCACGCATCGCCGACCGGGCCGGCGGCAAACACACGCAAACACGAGCGAACAAGTGCAAACACCGGGGGCAAATGCAGGCAAACGCCCGCACAGAGGTGTGTGCGCGCGCGCGCGCGCGCGCGCGCGTGCGTGCGTGCGTGCGTGTTGCCTGTGGCCATTCCTTCCCCACCCGAGTCATTGTGCCGGGGGTGAGCCTCTCCGATAGCCGGCGGCTGCCCCGCTGGATGCGCCCCCCCCCCCCGCCCCCCGGCGCGACGGC